AAGTTATAATAACCTCTTGTGAGTTCCAAACGGCACTAAAAATTATGGTCGGTTCGAGTTCCTGTATATAACTACAAGTCCGATATGTTCGTCGTCGTCGTCAATTAAAAATTCCCACTTTAATTTTTTTCAAACAATTTAATAATAATACGTTCAAATTTTTTGCAAGTGCGGCATTTGTCCACATGCGTTTCTTAAGTAATTTTTTATTAGTTTTAGTTAGGAAATGATTTTTCTACTCCAGTGATTGCTGTCATTATACAAGAAAAATAATGCAAGCTCTTGAAACGTCACTTCGGTATATATCATTCGAAAATCATTTCGACGGGTCGAAGTATACCTACCTAGTTTACGAAAAAACAATGTGGTGTTCATACAACAACAATAAAAAAAACTATAGTTATTATTTTAAATTCTGAGCCGAGCGATGAATGGATTGATTTTATAATAATATGTGTGCTTGTTTTCTTAAATTAATTTTTCTTCTTTTATCACATTTTGGGTTAGAAATTTATTTCTAAAAATGTATTCAGAAATAAATTGTTCTAAAACATGGTATGGAGAAAAACATTACAGACAAATAATGACGAGTGATGACAATATAGAATAATGTTATTGTGGCCATGTCCGAGAATTTATGTTATATACCTAGCAAATGCATTACACTTTCCACTATAGGTACTCGATAAAGGTCGAACCACTTACTGTGCGGTTATGCCTATAATTATATTTTTGTACAACTGTCAAAACACTCATACCGCCGAAAAGTGATTTCCAAGTACAGTAATAGATACCTGTTACAAGATTTGTTCAGATTAGAATATTACAACTTACTCAAGTCAATATTTTATTATATTGTAAAAATTGACTTACACACTCGACAATACGAAAAAAGCAACAATAGTTTTTTGTGTTCACAATTTTTTTTTAATTATCGAACAAAACATATAACATTTTTAATTTTGAATATAATTTCAAAAACGGAAACAATTTTAGAAACGGTTGCCGTTATATTATTATACAATTTTGTATGTTCAAAAAAAAGTTAGAACAAAAAAGAAAAAGCCGAAATTTGTAAAGTGAATATTATTCGATATAAGTAAAGAAAATTTAAATACAAAAAAAAAAGGCATCGGACAAGACGACGCGATGTGGGGGGGTACGTGATGGCGAGTTGGTGGTGCTGATGATGTAATGGTAACTGGTATATGGCCACTGGTCACCTCTACAACGTTCTCACGGGCTGTCCTGCAGGGCGGACGAGAGTCGCGAGCGAGTTTGCTCGAGACCGCCAAGACGACCATGGCAGCGGACGAAGCCCGGCCACGACGGCTGCGAGAGCGACGACGGTTGGCGACGAGAGGCTAGTGCGCGATGTCGTGCGCTGCTTGACGGTACTGCGGGTGCTGAAGACGACTGCTTGTGCCGGCAACGACGGTGACCTGCAAAGCTCGGAAAGGCGAGCTGGCGACTACGATCTCGGTGCAGCTGCGGAATCGGCGGCGTTGCGACTCGGGATCGGACCACTGGGCGAAAAGGGGAGAGAATCTGCAGACAGCTTTGCGACGCGCCGCTGTCCTGATAGTCTCCGCGGTGATTTTCGCCCTGGCGTCTCCGTCTGCCGCAGCCGATGGCCACGGAGCCGCGCACCGTCGAACCCGACGAAACATTTCGTTTCCTCGAGCCCGGCGCTGCTGACGTCCGTGGCGTTCCTAGCTATACCCTGTAATCATAGTCATCCGTCACTCACCCGCCGTGAGCTCTGAGGTCTCCGTCGTCGCCGTCACGCGAGTCGCGCAGCACTGCAGCGTTCGTCACTGAGCAGGTACCGTCGGGGACGGCGTCGTTGTCCGCGCCGGTACCGCTAACCTCCGTCGTCGTGTCGTCGTCGCTCCCGGACCGAAGCAGCCGGGCGCCCGCCGCGCCGCCAGAGGGTCTCGCGTGTCTCGGCGACCTCGAGCTCGCAACGTCTGCGATCCCGTCGCGCTACCGCAGGATGGCCGGAGAACGTGTATCGGCGACTTACCGCCGGTCACCACCTGAATGTGCACTGCCGCGTACCTATTACCTCGAAACCCCACACGTCGCCTCGCCTTGTCCGCTGCCCTCGGCCAGGGGGGAAACTTTTGGACGGTTTCACTTCGGGGGACAACAACAGCGCAACACGCGTGCGGCTCTCGTCAGGCCTCTCCAAGCAGAGGACACCAATCTCGCCGTTGCACTGCGCGGAGCTACGCGTGTTTCTGCCTTGACCCCCGGGTCCAGCCAACCAATCAAGATCCCAATACTATTTCTGACTTCCAGTCCTCTGGCCGGTGTGGCGCCCACCGCCTCGCCACCCAGCTCCTTTTTCGCGGCTTCCTGCACCGGAGGCGCGACCACTACGACGTCGTCTGCGATCGGTTCAACCGGTTCTGCCGTTTTGTCAGATTTGTCGACCGGTTGAAAGACGTTGGACGGGACGTAGTCGTCCCCCGCGAAGCGCGTCGCATACGATAAAAGTCCTTCCAGGTCTCCGATGGTAGGTTCCTGGTCGATGTCGTCGATTCGTTTAAGTTCTTCTTCCATAATCTCGTACTCGACGTTGCTTATTATCTTCCCCAAGATTTGCATGATGGTTGTTTCCATTTCCTTTTCTCCGTTATGCGATGCAGCCATTTTTTCGTTCAGGTTTTTTTTTTTGTCCGCGTAAGGTGTCAGATTATAGGTACTCAGATGAGTTGCAAATGTGCCGATTTCGGTATTTATTCCTGGGCCGTCGACGATGATTTTAAACAAACATCGTTTATTAGTAGCCAGCACATTATTATATTAATCGACCGGCATCAGCTGGATTTCGGGCCCGTTCATTTTTCCAAATGCCATTATTACGACTATTATTGGTATGGGTACCAACTCTTAAACTCTAACTGTATATATTTACGCAGAGGTACACTATAATAATTGTATTATAATATTTTAACGAGGATTTATATGTCGATCTGCATTATATTACCATACTGTCGTATATATATATACTTGCTCTATACTTTTGAAGGTACCAGTGGCGTACACAGCTATTTTCAATGGGGGGGGGGGGGCTTACACATAAAAAAATTATATACATATACATATATATAATACATTGATGAATCAAAACGATGTACCTATAGTAATTATTTTGTACATAATGAGTAATCGGCTCATTAGCAATAACTTAAGGTGAAATTAAAAATATTTTTACAATTCTCGATTATTATTTAAAAAATATATACCTATTACCTACAGGTAATTATTTAGTATAACTACAAAGTTACACGCGTACATACAATATGTATATACTAATATATTATATACAATTCAATAAAAGATAGGTATAAAGAGAAATTTATTTTTACCATATTAATCATTTTTTTTGTACCTAGGTCCTAGGTTGATAATATAATGTATTAAATATTTACCTGGTTCCTTCGAGTTAATGGTATCATAAATTAGCGAGTTAGGAAAATATTCGTTTATTCTTTTCATTTTTATTGTTTTATAAAATATTTAAACAGTAAGTACAATTTACTAAACGTCCAAAGCGTCAGGAATTTGATTGAAAACTGAGAAATAGATTCTATACTATAGTATTGGCGATACTGCGATAGCTATTAAGGCATATTATATCGGATTACACGATTGTCGACCCTCATGTTTGTGTTTGAACAAATTTCCCAATAATTTCATTAATTTGTAACAAGTTATCAATAATATCTACAATATATTATAACAACAAACTGGGTTGCTTATAAGTTATAATATAATGGAGTATAATTTGGAATATAATATTTTTTTAAATTGTCATCATTTTTATTATACATTTTTACGTTATTACGTAAACTGAAAAAATACTAAGGGGGGGGGGGTTGAACACCCCCCCCCCCCCGTGTGTACGCCACTGGTTCAAAATGTATCAAACAACTATCACGACTATCAAAAATAAAAAGAAATAAGACACAAATGTAACGGGGCTATAAGGTTATAGGAGCTCAGATAGCTGACTTTAGGTACGCTGCAATAAAATGTCAAACGGCGCGTAAATCTTGTTCAAAGAGATTGATGTCATCACGTCCAAAACTGTGATGAATTACATACGTAATATTATTATCGCCTCGTGTCCGCCGAACGCCGCCCGGAACAAGTTGTTAACGTCACGAAATCGGTGAAAAAAAAATAAAACACATCAAGACGTGTGTTATGATATATTTCCGTGGAGAATTTATGCGGCTTTTTCAACTCTCACACTCGTGCGTTATACCTATAGTACATGTCATGCACCCTCGGCCGTTTCGGCGGGTCATCTGTTCGCGATTGATAACGCAATCGGAAAACACGCGTAAGTCCCAGCGGGGTGTAAGACCTTTTTTTCGATGCGCATAATTTAACACACGTGCGACAGGTTAAACCTCTCTGGCTCTCTCTCTCTATCTCGTTCCTTTCATCTGAATCCAAACGAATCAATCACAATTCGACGTACCGCTTGTCTCTCGCGATCGCTCTTTAATCGTCCGACGACGATTTAATCGTTATATTATTATTATTATTATTAAGCTGCGATTTATCTACGAAGACCCTACCGCTTGAGGATAGTTCTTGAGCTGCAGAGTCGATCTAAGACTGTTCTACTGTGGGGTTTCGTCACATTAGCTGCAGTAAGGCTGTTCTTCATGTTTTATTACATATCATATGTTATGAGTGTGTCCGGTGCGTCCAATTCTGGTTCTTGTCATGTTTTGTTTATTTTATTTTTTATTTTTTTAAGCTCAATAGTGATTGCAGGTATTGCATCCCAACATAATATGTTAGCCACATCTTGGTAATGTGTACATTTATATTTTTTTTGTGTCTTGGTACGGGAATTATGCAGTTATCGTTATTGATCTAGGTGTCTTATTGATTATTCTTGCAGACTTCATAAATCTAAGTTATAATAACCAATAATCTAAGTATCTAACTTGAATAAATATACGATTCTTCGGATGGGCCTGCTCGTTAAACTTGTAAGTATTTACCAAAAGTCAATTCCGTTTTACTCGACTCGAAAAATAAGTATACCTATCACAAGAAATTCAAGATTATTCATTACATATAATATATGCATAGGTAACAGTAAGCAATCCGAACCTTTATACTTTTGCTAATTAAATTGTTGCTTGGAATATACGTAAATCGTGTTTTAGAAAATGTTTAAAAGCGTTGTAAAATAAACAGGCAGCATATTAAATCCGAAACCAAGATTATATTCTTCTCCGACGACGTGAAATATACCTGTTGGCTGTTATATATATACCTACCAGCTCGTTTGGTATAATCATAGAACATTTTATAATCATCGATCGATCGTGACTCGCGGGCGTATAGGAGGAATTAATATAACACACATATAGGCATTAGATTTTATGGTGCTAAGTGCGATTGGCGTCGAATCGAGCGAAATACATAATCACGATCGATATGATTATTATGTCATGTTGTATATTACAATTATTTTTAAATTTAAATTCCACCTTTTTGCCGGAGCACTATCGTTGACCTAGTGCGAGGTGGCGGCAATGTTGTCATCATTATATATTATAATTCACCCATTGCCCGCCTTGGCAAGACGTCGTCTCCTCGCGGTTATCGGTCTTACCGCGGAATCGATGTACATTTATTTCCAAGAGAGGCCTTTGAGCCCTGAGGCTTTTACCCGACCTTAAAGTTTACGCAAACACCGCAGCACATTTACATTTACACGCGCACGTTTACGTGTATATACTATATATATATTATATATGTATAAAATCGGAGAGAGACTTATATATCGTATATACGGCAGATTTGGGGGGTTAAGAGAAGAAAGGGTGAGAGAAAAAAAGTTGGGGGGAGGTGGCGGGTGGCACGACGGTATCAATTTATTTATTTATTCGGCCGGTGCCGGGGGAGATCCGCAGCCCTCTTAAGATTAATGATACGCTTTTCGAACTGCTCGGAATTTTTTTCTCTCTCTCACACACACACACACACACACCTTTATATATATACTTGCTTCAACCAGCTATATACTCTCTGCGGATCGGCCGACAGACGTGCCTCACGAGTCTATAAATCTTCCGCGGTTGTTTCCGCCCCGTATAGGTACGCTGCTCGTACATAATATTATAATATACACCACGGCAGTCGGCTAGGTATAAGCTTGGAAATATAGGTGTGTACCCGCATCACACACTCTCGGACGTGCAGTTTTCGGGCGAGTGAAACGGAAAAACAAATCGCCGACCCCAAGCCGTAGCTTTATTAATATATAATATTATGTAAGTCTGATCTCCACGCTGACCTCGTCACGTACATACTGCAGAGCATTCTCTTGAGCGATGTTATCTGAGGGAAAGAGCCGGGCCCAAGTCGTCGAGGATATAATATATTATATGGAGGCGATTTTGATCTCAAAATTCTATACTTAGTACACATATTTTAATACAGTCACTAGTTAACGTGACAAAGTCTAGTCAAAACTGATATAAGTACTATAATATTAATAATGCGAATAATATTATACGTGCCCACTCCAGTGTCATAATGACTGTACAAAACATGTTCAGGGCAAAGTGATATAAAATTATGACCTGACTATATTAATGGAAATAATGCGATAACATTTGGAGGAAAAATTAGACGTCTTCAACAGTTGTCGGCCTTGAAAACCTCAGTTTAGTAAAAATGCATTTATTTTCAAAACATCATATTAAAGGGTTACTCTAAAATACTGAAATCTTGTAATAATGTGACTCGGCCCTAATGTGTCACCAATCCAAGTGAAATCTAATGTTAAATCGTGTGAAACGATATTAATTGATCCGAATTTTTCATTTCAGAATCAAATCCTGCAACTCCAAAACGCAATCACCAAACTCAAGATTGAAAACGAAACGTTGAAGAAGCAGATCGACACTCTCGAAGCAACGGTAACGCATATAATATTAATATAATGTGGTAAAGGGTCCTATATGCAAGACGAATTCACCCCCCAAATTGTGTTAACAAAATGAATTGTAAATGCACCTTTTTGATTTGTGAACACTTAACACATCACACACAAACACAGAATCTAATATAAATAAATAAGAAACGAGCTTTTTAGGGGAAGGTCGAACTAACGCGTGTACGTGACAGCCACACAACTCTCGAGACACGTTTGATCTTATGCTTTATTTGTCTTCCGCAGGGCATCAGCCAAGTGCAAAAGGCTCTAGTCGAACGGCTCCGGATATTGGAACACGAGAAAAATCGCATCGAACGTGAGGGTGAACAACAGCGCAAACAGTACGAGAGGTGTCTAGACGACGTGGCCAAACAGGTGGTCAAAGCGGTCCTGTCACAAAAGGTACGCAACGTCGCCCCGATAGTCTATATACTACGATAATTAATCTATATTATTAAAATTCTTTTTAGAGTTATTGTATTTTTAATTTTTTCTTATCGCAGTAATTAAAAAAACTAAATTAATATAATAATAATATGTACACACGTGTTCGTGCTTTAAATGTCGACGCCCTAAACAAACGCTTCTAAAGTCATGGCAAACTTTATAAGCACACACTCACAATACTCACATAAAAATACCTTATCATCCGACCTACCCAAAAGGGATTTTAGTTTCCGTTAGTACTTAAAATAGTTCGATATTTTGCTTCCAATACAAATTTTTTATCCAACGCAACAGTTCTTTATCTAAGCTTACTGGCCATAATTGCAATGTTTATTTATCAGACAGTAATATGAAATAGTATTTTGTCGACAAGAAAAACAAACTTTTATAATTTGTTGCTTCATTTGTATTATACCACACATTACACGCCCACATAGATCACTGTACGTCTGTCGACTGTATCGAATTACCACTACTGCAATATTGTAATCGAAAATTGTTCGCGAGGACGTCCGGACATAATAATATATACCGGATGAATAATGTTTTATCATGAATCGGTTTTGCAATAAAATATCCGGAAGTATAATGAATTATCAATTTTTTTAAGTTTAAATATGGTATGACCATTATTTTTAGCTTTTCTATAGTAAATATTTGGTATATTTTTTTAACGTAATTCCTTTTATTCCTCGAGATATTGTGCTCCAGTTAACAATAAATTAATAGAATAACATAAAATAAAGTCGACCTACAGTGGATACAGTACCTATAGATTTTTTCGCATCGTCATCGTCATCATATTGTAATAAAGAAAATAATATTAACGCTTCTGCTTCGCCCTCAGGGTCTGCGGGAAGAGATATCCTCACTCCAGCACCGCGTCAAAGAGCTCGAGACCGGTAACTGCGCTTTATCCGCACTTCTGGTGCAAAGGCTTCAGGGTCAGAAGATCAACTATTCACCGACCACGATGCCGGTGGCCGAGAGCCGATCGGTCATGTTCGACATCCACCGATCGCCGTCCGTGGTGAGTCAACTATAAAAGCTATATTATACTATTATAACCATTGTTGTAGTGTGATTAATCTTTTTTTAATTGTAATACTCATTGTTGTTGTTTTTGTTGTTGCAGTACTGTTTATTTAATAATAATTATTAATCTTTTCTTTTTTTTTACTCCCCAGAAAATGACTATTGAGCGACCCGCGAGTTGCGATCTCACCAAGGGGCTGAAGAGATTAAAAAATGACGGATGGCAGGCGGCCGTGTCGTACCACCGACCGCAGTCGTTGAATCTAGAGATTTGTTGCTCGCACAACGGTAAGATACCTAATGTTGTAAATTATAAATTATAACGATGGGTGAGAGAACCTTTTAAGCAAATTTTTTTAAATTTTGTCCGTTATGATAAAATAATAAGTATGGGGAACCAACCGCTTACGAACATTCAAATTATTATATATTTAAACCATCGATTAAATACTGTACCTATATTATTATTTAATCAATGTTACAAAAAAATGATAAAATACAGGTAACCTATACTAAAATATAAAGAGATTGTCTTATTTATTTTGTTTGTCCTTGATAAACTCAAAAACTACTAAACTAATTTCGATGTAGTTTTCACCATTATCCACCTATATTATTATATAATATGGTTGACCCAACTACTGGAAAACTAAGCAGTATAAAATATAAATATACCTGTGGCGCCATCTGTTCGGTGTTTTACCGCGGAATTTCAATTTATATCTTATAAAAGAACTGTTTCACCAATCGGACACAGTCATAATGTCTTATTAATAACTAAAAAACAACCGAATAAAAGTAATTTCGTGCACAAACTGGCAATACGATTTCGGGTACAATAATTTCAAATGTGGGCAAACGGTTGAGTCCATTTTTATTATTACAGTGATTTCGACAATAGTATATATGGTATCTTAGCTTAAAAAACAAAAAATTAATCGTGTGCATTGTTCATTGTTGTACAGCTGAAGAGTCGACGAAATGCGACAGAGTGCTCGGTGACGAGACGCCTGAGAGTGGTAACCGAGACGAAGGTTATTCGACCATGTCAAGTGACGTGCAAGGCACAACCGAACCGCCGTCCACCAAAGGTTTGGAAGACGTGAAAGAAGCCAACGAGAACGAATCGAACTCGCTCATGGAATCATCGCCTTGTTCCAGGTACTTACGCATTACCAATATTATGTAATTAATGTTGTGTCAAATAATAAAATATCCTCAGGATTAATTATTTTTATACAAGTCGTTTTATACGGAATGATTAACTCGCTATATTCATTTTTCCTAACCTAACCCGTTGAAGTTCACTCTAACTTCTTAATAGATTAGATTAAAAAATATACCTAATCAAGTGCTTCGCAAAAAAAAATTACACTTAGTATTATAATAGTTTTAAACAAAACAATAATAATAAATAATAATAATAATACATTTTATAACCCGCTAACATTTTGAATAGTTAAACTTTCAAAGCAGGATCACCAACCTTTTCTAACAAATGAGCTACTTACATTAAACAATTTAAGTAGGTATCTTATTAATCGGCCACTATTTAGGTAAATTATTTATATTATTACATGCCGCATTATGATAAATTGTATTATAGTTCTTATTTTATTATTTATCCACCGGAAAATTGTATAATATGTTTTTCTTCGCTAATAAATTCTTTGCTTTGTATATATTATTATATAAAGCTCAAAGTGTGTTTTATGCACGTGATCAACGCGCAATATTGATTATTATATTAATCTTTAATACAATCGACCAACATTTCGCTTAAGATCGACCAGTCAATCTCGATTGACTGGTTGGCCACCTCTGTTCCACAGGTGTTACTTCTTTCGTAAACGTGATCCACACCCGAACTCTCCTATCTAGTCGTAATATTGTAATTTGTAAAGTCTTCGTTGAATCTCGAAATGTTTTTATAATAACATCTGCTATCAGTATTTCTCTGCCAGATAAGGTCTCGGAATCGTCGCCCCAAATTACCTAAATTATATACCTCCTCCACCAGTCTTGCCTATTTATTGTGTGTTAATTACACACAACGCGCATAGTGGTAATTAGTTATGCAGTTTTTCCAAAATTAAACAGAGTCCAATTAATATGTATAATATAGTATATTATTATTATTATTCGTCGTTAAACTGGAAAGCTGTTTGCCGAGTCATTACGGACCGTTTAAGGTGTATTATTAATGATGGCGAAAACGCGTTTAAATTCATTTCACTCAAATAATTATTTTCGTCATTAATCAAATTCTCAAAAAAAAAGGCCAAAAAAAATCGAAGACAATATTGTCAAAGCGATAGCACCCTCCCACCTATATATATATATATAATTCCTCGTGGCTAAGAATAATTTAATTACTCGCTATAAACGAGATCCGAAAAAAAAACCAATAATATAGTATAATATTAATACACTGCAGTCGAGTCTATAGATAACTCGAATCTCCAGGGGAATTAAATTTTCCGAACTGAAACACAACTTAAAACACTTCGAGGGGCACTAAAAAAATTCGAATTTTCATTATTCGAATTATATTGAGGTTCGAGATTGGTTTGTATTAATATTATAATAATATTCTCGTGGGTTACGAACTATCCATAATATAATAGGCAATTTGTGTGTATAGTAAATACAAAATTCTACTCGTTTGACGCATGTGGCAATCGGCTAGACGCTCTCAAAAAAGGGGTTTAAGCAATTAATATATTATTGATATATATCTTATATACCAAAGGTGACCAACTACGGTTCGTGGGGCAAATCCAGCCCACGGTCACTTATTAAAAATTGAACGTTTGTAAAATGTAATATAAATTAATATTTCCCATTTCTTATGGTCAATTACGTTGTTAATCAGACTCGACCATGCGTCACAGCCTTATCGTTATAGGTACACCGTTTAAATATAAATAACATTTTCAATAGAATATAATATTCTGTTAATTTAAAAGAAAAAGTTAGAATAGTAAATGTTCTTCGAAGTGGAAAATATCGAGTAGCGTGCTGTCACACGATCACCACATATGAATTTAATATTTTTTTTAAGGCCCTCGGTAAAAAAAAAAGGTTAGTCAACACTCACCACTGTTGTATACGACCGATAAAGCTGAAAAAATGTTCGATGTGAGACGACATAAATAATATATTTTATTTATTATGATTATCAAATAGGTGCGGTGTCTGGTATAGGTACTCAGCGAGTGCACTGAAATTATTATTATTACTATTTGTCCGGATATATGCGATTTCACGAGTGGATCGATAATAGTTTTTATTTTCGGTTTAACGGCCATACGACAACGGTTAACTTTGCAGCGGACACTATATTGAGCCGTTATATAGTTTTTAACTACATGCAAAGTGCCAGTTAGGGTTGAATAAATGTCGCGGGCTGCATAAAATGTATCCCAACCTTGGGCAATTACATTAAACTAACTGCGTATTAATGGACCGTTTCGAATAAATCGACTTTAATGGACATGAAAAAAAATAAATAAGAGACACGAACTCATTTTTTTTTAATAAAATTTACTCGGCGATTCGTTATGGCATCAGCTACTCGCTGTCTATGTGTCTCCGTCCGTTCTGTTCTCGATAGCCTATTGAATCATATTCAACTCATTATGCAACGAAAAAATAATAATCGGATAAGTTACATAAATATTAAATACAATATAATTTATATCGTTTATAATTAATGTAAAATAATGACTTCGTGGTTTTGTTGTGAAATACAATAGTTGGTCATATTTTTAAGAGGGCTTTGTCAATTTATTATACTTATTTGTGCGAGTGTTGTGATATAAGATGGTTTATGATTGATTTTAGTTAATTTCTATATAAAGAGAGCTGATTTGTTAATTCCAAAGTAATGTTTGTTTTCATAATTATATACGACTGCACGTCATCAGAATGTTAAACTTTGAAATTAATTTTTGGTATATCATGGTTTTATGTTCATAGGTATATTCATAGGTATTATATTCATACATCTATGGGTTTATATGCAATATTTTCTAAAATTGCCCTTATTTTACAGAAATATATGACCTCAAAAGATTTAGAAAAATGTAATAAAAATTAATATATAAATATAATATAATATTTTTATTAGAGTGATGAACAGCGAGGACACTGACGTGATATTCGTGCCGCTCAGCCTTTCGTTCAGCTTCATCAACCCACGCCATAGCTACCCACCGCTGCGCTGTATGCCATCGGTGCATAACATCATGCGCAGCTACTCAGACTCACACCTTTTTCTTAAGCTGGCCGCGGCCACGGGTGGTTTCGTCGAGGACGAGGATCGGACGTCGTGGTACAGCGGCGGCGAGCTGTGGGACATGGACTATGTGCAGCACTGGCTCCGGTTGGACGAGACGCGCACCGCCATCCAGCAACGGATGGAGTACGATGCTGCCGAGTTGGAAGACTGGAGTATGGACGACGGCACTGGGACGGCGACTGGCTGGAAGCGGATGTCTGCGGCGGACGGAAAACTGCAACAGTCGTTGCCGTGCATCGAGGAAGATGATGCGACCGGCTCGTCGTCGACGTCCTGTGGCCGAAAAGGTGACCTCCTGCAAGACATGGGATCGTCCAGAGACATGTCGTGGTACCACTTCCAGCAGCAACACCACCACCACCAACATCAACACCAACACCACCAACAACACCCCTACGTGCAGCAAGGCCAGATCCAGGTACACAATCACCATCAGCACGACTGTCAGCAACAGCATCAGCAGCAGCACAACCACCACCACCAGCACCACCTTCACCAACACCAGCACCAGCAGCCGTCGTACGGTTCGGGTTCGCCAGGTGGCGACTCATGGTCAAGCGCGGACGAGTATGCGGCTGCGGACACGCCGCCGTCCAAGAGGTCTTCTGTCAGCTGCTCCGCGGACAGCATCGAACTGCTTCCACCACCTGGACCGATCGCCGGCACCGACTTCACTCGTGACTTTTACCGACTGGTCAAGTTCGAAAGCTCCAAAAGCCTTGCATCCACCTCGTCACGAAGCGTGACGGGTGGAGGAAGCGATCATCGGACACCGCCGGTGGTCGAGGCACAGTTGGACCGCGACCAAGCCTTGCAGAGCGTGTTGGACTTTATCGCCGAACAGCAGCAGTATTGCTTATCCCGGCAGGCCGAAGATAAACGAGAGCCACCGCGAGTGCCGTTACCCGCTGTCCCAGCCGAGGAGTCCCATCACTCAGATCAACCGGGGGCCGATGTTGGGCCTCAGACACCACCGCCACTACCTGCTCTGCCGACTTCTAATCCGACACCACCGGTTGTACTGCTGGTGGCGCATCAGACGTACGACAGTAACAGCTGCAGCGACAACCTGCTCAACTCCAAGGACAGCGGACTGTGTGGCAGTGACGTGGAGATCGAGTGTCTGCCTGAAGACTGCAGCTACGCGGCCGACCAATCGCCGACGGCCGCATCTACACCCCTTTCCACGCTGCTCAGGACCGTGATGGAGGAAGACGAAGAGGCGTCGGCCAAGTCAACGTCCCCGCAGCCACCGTCGTCGTCCACCGGCGCTGGCGGTTCGAGCAGCGGTTGTACGGCCGACACCACGGTGTGCATGGTCACAGCATGGGCGGCTGCGTCGTCCAAGGATCTGATCGACCAACTGAACTGGATGGACGGTTGCGGTGGAGGCCACCCCCTCTTTGGCACGTCTCCCGAGGATGACGTCGTCGAACGTCGCTCTCCGTCGTCGTCACCTGACCTGGACGAGGCGTGCTGTTGTCCCACCGGATGGGTTCACGTCGAACGAGACATAGACTTCGCCGACCCAAAGGTTAGTTTTGCTCGAAATTAATATCCTATAACTTATAAACATAATATTATATACAGCATTGGCAGTGGCGATGGCCGATGGTGAGTCTAAACGTCGTAACGCACGTCTGACGAGTCTCCAGCATAATTTGTTTGCGCCCACTATGAAGTCGGGTTCCCACAATTCGTTATTCGTTATACTGCAATACTAAAAATATTTGGTGTTTGGTATAATATGTTATTCGTTATTTGTCACCTTCCAGTGAGTTGACAGTAAAATTGACGATTTGATGAATTCAAATTTAATTTCAGGCATTATATTCGATACTAGGTTAGGGGTAGTCTTTACAGTTGCCACAATATTATTGATACTCTTTGACAAAATAATAATGTTTTTTGTCCACGACATTGTGCCTTATTGACTCGGGAGCACTCAGATGTTTATTTTACATTTACACAACAGTCACACGTCATATAGTACACGCTATAATAATTTTATAGTGATCATTTACTACGCACGCAACCAATCACACGGTATGTTCACATATATTGCCTATACTGAACTCCTTAGTTTAAAAAAACTTTATTTATAAACTACAACATTAAAACGATACGAATTTGGTTCTCAGCCCGAGGGGGGAGATGTGATCACCTCCCAACCACTACCTTGTAACTATCACTGTAAAATGTATATAATACACATTTTTAGAGAGTTGAAGTTCAAGCTTATGACAATAAATCGATTTATTTTTTTCAATAATGACGTTATATGTACATATATTTTTATAAATATATAAAAACCACGCATTCAACAAGTTTACTTGCGATGCATCCCAAAACTACTCAACCGATTTGATAAGATTATGCTCAATGTGTGTTATTCGGTCCACATTAAAATATAGGATAGTTGTTATCCCGATAAGTGGTCCTTAATTTATTTTTTATTGAACATTTAAAAGAGGATTTTGAGATTTGCGATTGAAATTTTTATTTGTAAATGGTTGCTATTGGTTACAGCGTACGGTATCAATGCTTTTATGAAAATAGTTATTGGCTCTATACAACACAAGTAATAATATGATTTATAAATAATACACAGACTATATTATTCTATTCTATATAGAAATCTGGGTAATAATACAACCGAATAATTTGAGACAGTCGTCGGCGTGATGGAACCCGAATACGACGACTGTTATTTTATAATAATATCAATTAGATATCATTTGTTTAGAGAATTTTATCTTTGTTGTGGTATTTTTTTTTTAAATCATAATCTCATTACAACCCCGCGCAATCAAATATACCACACGGACATAGCTGGTTTTCGATAATCTCCTGCAGTATTTGAATGTAATATGAACCTTGCGATGATAAGACCTCCGCAGACTCTATAATCTGATTATATATAGATGATTTCCTAATAACTGTGCTCCGCGTATTGCAACACTCAATTAGGCTTAATGAGTACGGTTATCAGCTTCAGTAGAACATTAAAAAACGTTCATCCGCTCCGGCCAGTGAACAATAATAATAACAGTATTATGTAGGCACATTACGTTAATACATAATTAAGATTATTCCATCTGACGACGGCGCTCCAAACCGTCGCACGACAGTAGTAGTTCAAACTTCAAACATCGATTACGACTACGACTCCTACGATGTATTTGGGTGGTGTACGTGGGTATGTGATGACTGACAACGGACTCCAGTGTCATAATAAATTAAATACTAGATAAGATACAGTATTATTGTATACACAATAAGACGATATAATATAATGTTCAATACACACTGTATTCATATTAAATCATTGTATTTCGACAGCCGCCAAATGCAAAATTAATTATATTTTGTTTTTTAACTTCAGTGCGCCATTGCCCTTTTTTGTGAATTTGTGCGATATCGGTTCAATCGTAAATTCGAAATGAAGTTCATATCCTCAAAAAAAATCATGAATTTCTAATATTTTGTTTTTCTTAAACATTAGTCATTAGCGTGACATTCGTTATACTCGGAAAATACGTTTATTCATATTACGACTTTTCCTAGCCCTCCCCCCCCTCTGACCAATAAAAATCTTAATTTAAAATGTTTTATTTCACTAAACATTAGTGCGTATACTGTATAGGCGTATAGGTTTTGCCTTTTATTATCCAATTGTCAAAATCGGTCGCACGGCAACATATAATAAAGGTACGATCGTTACGAGGTATAATTTATTATAATATATTCGATTATAAATTTACGACCAATAAAACTAATGCAATTTCGTCGATCGATCTTATTATTTATATTTTATTTCATAATTATTTTATGGTTATTCCCTGGAAACGGAATATTAAAATATAACAATATTTCCCTATAGGATCTATACGTATATTTTTTTATAATACACACATTGTGTAAAACACGATTTGTGTCAAAATTTTATCGGCTGCTGTAGTTGAAATCGTCTTCTACTCTTGTCTAAAATTAACAATCTCGTCTAGATCTCCAAATTTCGTGAAATTGAATCAACAGAACCATTATACCGCTCACCATCCGAACTATACTACAGCTTCAGATTTAGGACTGTTCCTTACATAATATAGGTATAAGATATAATCAATTCAAAACTGGGCTAGATGATAATCGATTTTAGTGAGTTCGAGTGTGTGTTACCGTTTCATTCGTTTCCACAGGTTGGCAAACACTCCGAAAACAAGACAGTTGTCCGAAAATATATATAAATAGTATTCGGTTATAGGTGTTTGATCTCGACGTGTCATTACAACTGTTATACCTAACGGTTCACTTTAATAAAACTACATAGTAATATTGCGACTACCAAGTTCTAATATGTTATACTCTATAACTCGTCATAACGCAATTTCCTTATTGCAGGAACGAGCCAATCTGTTGGACGTCATGTTGGCGTCCAGTCGGAGTTCGTCGAGCAGCACGAGCAGCTCGTCGACGGGCGAGGATGACGACGACAGCAGCTGCAGCAGTGGCGTCAGTGGTGGGACCTGCAGTGGCGAGAGCTGCAGTGGCAGGGCTGGCGGTGGCTGCAACGACACGACCGACGACAGTAGCGACGACGAACGCGACCCAAACGACGACGACGTCGCTCGCCTGGTCAGCAGACGGCGGACCACCGAGGCCGGAATCGATGCTTCAAACGAGGAATCGTACAACCGCCTGCACAAGTTGCACCGGGTGCGCAGACAGAAAAAAGGTAAATTAATTAATATCGTATAATTTATGAAAAATACAATAATCGTTTACAGGTATATTATTCTAAAACGTCCGATGTTTGATTGCCTCGAACTACGTCGTCGTAGTAACTAATAATAAATCGTATATGTCGCAGAAATATCGAGGTATAAAGTTTGAAATTTCACCAAATCGTTTTCTTTTTTGAGTGAAACTTCTTTACGGAGAGTACGAAAAAAAAATTATGCCGTCACGAGACACTATGGCTTTTATATGGTATAATAAATAATAATCTTGGTCTTATCTCTGTTTGATAATAATTATAATAAAATAATTTCAATTGAAAATTAAATTTTTTTTTTATTTTTCCAATATTAAATAACCGTAATATTCGACCGTGATGCCAAATGTGACGGGCTGTAATATATTATTTTTATTTTCATGCCCTCTCTATTGCAACACTCACTTTTTTTTTGTATAATTTGTAGGGAAAAGTGATTTAACGGTAAATATTATTTTGGTATCTGATGACAAATCCCAAACAGCTGTTTTTAAACAGATATGTGTTAACTAAATCGTCGTACCGATTTTGTGCCAATCCAAAATAATTATCTGTTCATGACCATAGGCCAATCATGTCTTGTATGGTGGCCCGGCGAATTTGGACTTTTCACACACCTTGTTTTTGAACAGGCTACAATATATTATTTACCGTGGTCAAATTATGACGTAATGTTTTGATTCATTCTTATAAAAATGTTTTTTTTTATATATTATAATGAGAGACGCGAGTTTATGATTTTATATAAATTATGTATATATATTATATCTTTTTATTTATAATTTAATTGGATTAATTTTTCGAGTAATCGTAAGTATAAATGTTAAAATGTGTGATACAAAATTAAATGGGTAAATTACAATAATAAGTAATAGTGGTAAAACTCACGTTTACTGGTTTAAAAACGAATCACGCATTTACGCATTGGTAAACGTTCATTAAAAAATAAAAATTGAAACAATACAAACCACAATATTTGTCACTGACTCCAATATAATATTATATTATAATATAAAACGAAGCCCGTGCGAGAAAATCATTAAAATGTAATATACTTGCGTGTACACCGCATACCTATAAGAGTTTTCACCGACTTTTCCAATAAAATACCGACTTGGTTGGTGTGTATATGTGTACAATAATGCAGCAATAATAATTACGACGTTATTAACCTAACAGGGGAATTGAATTTTTTTCCAAAATCGATTATTATTTATTTGTGTGAAAAAACGCACACTACAAATGTACACATTTTTGCAAAACTGTTTGTCATATTTTGTTTATTCAAATGGTTCCATTTGGCGGCCAATAAAATATGTATATTGTATTGCATTCTAAATAACAGCCGGCGGAATATTTTCCAAAGCTTTTTATTTATATACTTCTACAAAACAATATATAACATAATATTATACAGCCGATATAGGCCTACATAGATATCAGATGACGAACCGTTTACCGTTTATATTTTATGTTGGCTTTTAAAGTAGGCTTGTTAAGGTATATGCTAGCGGAATAGTGAAACAAACGTTTGCGAGGTATCTTGCCACTCAAACTGCAGTACACAACTATATAATATTATAATAATGTGACATTAGACTTCGAGTGCTTCTTATTTATTAATACAATATAGACAGTGATGTGGGTTTAACGTTAGAAATATTTGTCGAACAGATATAAGTGTACAATACTACATTGTGCGCCTATCTATAGATACCTACATCAATAATATCAGAAAAATATCCCAAATCATACATTTTTATTGTTTTCATAACCAAACCTTTTTTAGAGTGACAGAAATAATCAAAGGTCGGTTGATTTAAGTCGGAGCTTTATCATCTGTATCAGCAAAAGTCATCTATTTGGGTACTTGTGGCTTAACCCAAAGTCAAGAACCATACGACATGTCGATATATGCGTGGCTATAGATATAACTTACTCGCTGGAACTGGACTTTCAAAAAACGATTTCGGATATCCGCGTTATTCAAACGTTACTTTAAAAAAAACATTATTAGTATTTATATTTTTTGTATATACCGTGTAATCTCAGGTTAGGTCACAGGCCACAGCTAGCCGGTATATACCAGGATTATGCCATCGCATGTATTATACAATATAATAATTATAATATTTTATCGATATCTTTAGATGTAGCGTGTAAGTTTGCCCATTGACCGAATATTAGCATTATTACTAGACATTGAAATTTGTATTATTCGTCAAATATGCACAAAATGTAACATTTGATATTTCTACTGTCGTGAAATGAGTTTATATAGCCGCTTACTTATAGCTGGTAATACATATTTTATAAATTTAAATAGCAAAATAAAAATAAACAAAACTCGAAAACGAGCCCTGTAGCTATGACTAGGAACCAACAGTCAGCCGTTCCTCTTTATTCAACCCGTATGCATGTATATATTATGATAACAATACCTATAACAATAATATTCCGTTTCAGCGTCCGCCATCCGCGACGGTTTCGGCGTGCTCCGGTGCCCGGCAGCGGGACTCCGACAGTCGATCGTAGGCCGCAGCGACTTCTTCGTCCGGTTCGGCGACAAGGAGCGAGAGGCCATCTCCAACTTTGACTTCCTGGACGACCTGTCCACCACATCGCTGAGCACCGACTCGAGCGACCGCCCGCCGTCGCCCCGCCGGCCGGCCGCGTCCACGCCCGAGACCGCGTCCGCCTCGGCCACCAGCCGCCACGGCAAATACTACTCGTACACGTGTTCCTCGTCGGCCACCGCGGCGGCCGCAAACGCCGCGATGCCCGGCCACCGGCGGCCGTCCACTTCGTCGTCTGTGCTGCCAGCCGACTGCCGGCGACAACGGCGCCGCCGCTACTCCGGCCTGTCGCTGAGCGATTCGTGCGGCGACTCGGACTGAGATTGTACCTACCATCCATCCAATAATGTATCGGAGGTTGCGACGATATTATAAAAATAATATTATATTACGATCGTCATTGTTTTTATTTTTCATCATTATTGTTATTATTATGATCTTGTCTTGATCGTAACATAATAATATTATTGTTTGTAAACAAATATTATTTGTTGTACGATCCGTCGCTCGCCAATATTCTTCCGAAGACTCCTCTGCGTTTCGAGTTTATTTTTTTAAACATATAATATTATTATATATTATAATTTATCACAAAATACACTATATTATTATTATTATAAATTATGACGAGATGTCATGTACGTTTTTCTTGTTGGAAAACATTTCTCGGCTCGAGGACGACGCGCAGTCGCCGCCGTTACACTAAAAATGTAAAAGTTCTTGAAATATAATATTTTTAAGAAAAAGTAGGTAGGTACATATGGTACAAGGCACTAACTACACGTCTGTATAAAAAATACCTTAAAGTGTACACTTAATTATTCACATAAACATTACATCGTCGTGGGCGCGTTCCGGGGGGGGGGGTGGAGGCTCGGAGTGGTTCGAGGATGATTAACACCCCTGGTTTGAAGACTTGGCACCCTCTTTTCCGACTAATCGGAATTAAATTGAGGGGCTTTAGCGCCCCCCATCAATTTCTTCATTGAAATCGTGCCACTGATTATTATGAAATTAAAGTATATTATACTATATTTTTTAGTCTGTACGCTCATGTGCCTACCGTATCATATTTTTTGTATAGTCGTCGGAGACGGCGGCGCGGCGTTTAGTATTATTATTATTATTATAATTTCATTGCGTTATTACATCGTGTACGTTACACGTCTTATATAATATTATTATTAATTATTATTATATAATTAATATCATACGTCTTATAATGTAGTTATTGTTTCGTTTGTCGGCGCCGCTTGTACCTCGTGAAAAAAACCGCGTGTTTTCTTCTTCTTCTTCTTATTATTATTATTATTATTACTATTGTGTCTAATAATAAAAAAATTATAAACGTGCATAAAATATTATTAATATTATATTATGATAATTCAAACGCGAATCATATTATTATATAATACGGTCTATATATTATTATTATATTATTGTATAACTATTATTGTCGTATCGATGATATTGCTGTGTGTGTGTATTATAAATACATATTATATATATATAATACATACTTAAGTTTTATTTTTTTCCGTTCATAACAAACACACTTTTTGTCCGATTATGACGGTTTGACGGTTTTTTTATGTTATGATATCATAAGGTATATGTCAAACAATCGTCATAGATACCTTATTGTAATATATTGTAAAACAGTCATTGTCAAAATAAAGATAAATAATTATACTATGTAATCTATCGAAAATAGCTCCAGACTTCGTGCGGACTTCTATTGTCAATATGCTGCATAATATTATTAAGGACCCTGCAAAAGTGTCATAGTACGAGTTATGTTGAGGGTATGAACAGTGTAGAAAATTCTATGAAAATGTATTTTTGTATTTCTAATAATATGGGTAAATGAGAGGTTTGAGAGTAAATACACCCATTATCAATATTGTAGAATAGAAGTTAATCTATGCCTGTATGAAATTCAGTTTTCAATACTTTAATTATTAAACTCTATTACTCGAATTCAAAAAGTAAAATATCACCTTGTAGTAAATTTTGTCGGGAATCTTATAAAAGCAACTATAGATTTCTAAGTATAATACATGTTCAAATATACCATAAACGTATTGTGTGCACAAACTAAACTTTAGTCAACTTTTAGGAGAAGTTAAACTTGAATAATTTTTTAAACATTTTTCTCATTATCCTGATGTATTTTTACATAAGTACTTTTTTTTCGGAAAAAAAATAAGAATTCATGCATGAAAAATATTGGACATTGAAAATAAAATATCGAAAATCGACTCCTATACAACCCCAGATACACTTTTTCTCTTCAATTTGTATAATAGGTGTTCATACTGTAATGTCACTCAGTATAACTGATTTGAAATAAGAAACTAAGTTTCAGTGTTTCACTAAAATTTACATTTGTAATTAGTGTGTGAAATGCTGCGTTACTGACATGTGCGGGTGAGCTCAGTTATTTATTTTATACACAGTCACTTACACTTATGATCACTTACTAAACACACATTTACCCGACCAACATGCACGCAAATAGAAAATTTCCTATATTGAACTCCTTAGAAACTTTACCTAGGCAACTATTTCGTATCTTATACGGTCACTGATCGTTGAGTAAATTATTCTAAGTGTTCGGATACTTCCAACCTAAAACCTTAGATCATATTATGTACTTTGGTATAGTGTGATCTAACCTCAAAACTCACCCGAATTAATACGTCATTAGGTCAAAATATTCTAAATCAATTTATGGACGTGAACTATAGCAGCTATAGGTACGCCTGACAAAAATTTAAGTACTTCTAAGGGTCGGATTTAAATTTAAATATATATATATGTTGTATGCATAAACAGGATTACTTTGCATCGGTCGGAGCCCTTTTTCGATTCTTTGCGAATCTTTGACGGAAAAAACATTTTAAATTTTACAGACTTTTCATTTTTTTTTTTTTGTGTCTGTCATCACGTTTTAGAACAGTAAAAGTGCTTGGATTTTTTTCAACAGTAGTTTGTCTGATAGGAAAGTGAATCTAGTTGGTACTTTGGGGGGGCCAAAAGTAAAAATTTCCCAGTAGTTTTCAAAAGCACCGTGAAAAACAAAAGAAAAATTAAGGAAAAACAGAAATTACGCTAAAATCTGTTTTCGAAAAAATCGATTTAGGTTTTTGGCGCAACACTTAAACAAACGACTGAATTTTTATATTAGCATTTTCTAATAATATAATAATAAAAATAATAAAAATATTTTCAAAATGTTTTGATTTATTTTGAACTGTTTAGGCACATTTTCATTTTCCATTTTTTTTTAGTTTTTTTTCTAAAAATATCAATACAATTTTATTTGTTGGTTAAAAAAGCTTGAAAATTTAATACAAGGCTCCTGCTATATTATTATTTATTACAATGGCATTTGAAAAATATTAAAAATCCTTAGTCACAGTTTATTTTATAAGAAATTAAAGTTCAAAAATTGACAAAATATAGAAAAATGACGAAAATTAGCAAATTATTTTGAGTTAAGAATTTGTAAAAATTTTTCTTTTTAAATATTCACTTTTAAAATGTAATACAAGATTCCTTATAAAATTATCCACCTTTATCAAAAAAAAAATGTCTATAAGAAAGTCAAATTAAATATTATGAGCGTTTGAAATTCAAATTTTTACAACATTGGATATTCACTCGTTTTCTCATGTAACGATTTCCTTATTTTGTTGTAACTCAAAAACGAATAACTGTAGATACATGAAAATTTCACTGAATGTTTATATTAGCATTTCCTATACACCATACAATTTTGAAAATATTTTGACTCTTTTTGAGCTGTTTACGGACATTTTCAGTTTTCAATTTTTTTAGTTTTTTTTTCTATAAATATCAATAAAGTTTTATCTGTTGGGCCAAAAAGTGTAAAAATTTAATACAAGGCTCCTGATATATTGTTACAACATTAGTTGAAAAATATTAAAAATATATAGTCACAATTTTTTTTTATAAGCATTGAAAGTTCTAATTTTGACAAAATTTATCAAAATCTCGAATATTATAAAATGTTCAACTTTTATATCTAAGGATTGAAAATTTAAAACAAGATTACCAAAAAATCTAAAAAAAATACACAAGCATAGTTTATTTTTAGAGTAACTATTTTAGTTATTTTGTTGTGATTGTATAATATTATTCGTGGGTACTTGAAACTTCTAAAGTGTACTATTATATATCTATGATAGTATCACGGTTTGTTGTTGATGTATAACGCGTTATAAGTACCTAATGGATATTGTGATATGATTAATTTGGAATTTATTATAGGTCAATTTTTTTTTAATACCATAGATCAGGGGTCTCCAAACTTTTTTATTCAAGGGGCCACAAAAAAAATCAAATGCTCTTAGCTGGCCAAAAGTTTATCAACACATAATTTTTAATTTTATAATAATATTTGTACCTGCCTATATAAATAATATGTTTACTTTATATTTTTGTATAAAATATTGTTTACTTTACAATATACTTAAATAAAAATAAATAGGTATAAATATAATATAATATAAATACATTTTTGAAATAATTTTTTTATTTATATTTGCGTCCTATGCGGGCCACCAGCCGGTTAAAACTTGTTCGCGAGCCGTAGTTTGGAGACCCCTGCCATAGCTGCCCATAGATAAGTATACAATTTGTCTTATACCTAGACTGACATCCGTCTCCACTCAGAATCGTTTTTCTTATACAATGATATTATAACATTGAATTCAAATTGAATACCATCCATTATACAGTGACCCACTTGTAACCTACTGTACAGCAGAGCACCTTTTTTTTATTAAATATATTAAAAATTATTAAAAATATTGAATGTATTTTACGACTGATTCAAACTAAACTTTTTATCAAATCAAATTCTTAATTTTTGTCATTCGCTAAGTTCGTTTTGATGAAAAATTGATAGGGCATTCCTAAGTGCATTGTTTTCGGGTTTTGCACTCAGCATGGTAAATGGTAATTGCTTTCCGATCAAAAAATTTGATTCGTATACGTCAGAGAATAATATAATAGTTGAAACACGAAACTTGACACTAAATTTGCAGTTTGTCTTTTTATGTGAGTTTCAGATTTTACTTTCCCATTTTTACAGTATTATTATAATGTGATGTTAAAGTATAAAACATCATAATTAGTGCATACTATGAGATTTATTTTTGTAGAAGCAATTATTATATAAATAAGTTAAGACATTAAATATGTTCATATTTTTATAAAATTCATCAAAATCACAAAAATTTGCGAATATTTTTTAGTTAAATATGTATAAAATGTTTTATTTTCATAGCTAA